GAATTAGTGCAAGAAATTCTAAATATAAAGTTTATTAAGGACAAAGTATGTGATGCATGTCAACTAGGTAAACAAATAAAAACTAGCTTCAAACCAAAAACTCAAATTAGCACCACTAGACCATTACAATTGATTCATTTGGACTTATTTGGACCAATTGACACGAAAAGTCTAAGATGAAGCAAATATGCTTTTATAATTGTGGATGACTATACTAGATACACTTGGACCTATTTCTTAGCTCACAAAAGTGATTGCTTCAAGTGTTTCTCTAAATTTTGTAAACTCACTCAAAACGAAAAAGGTTTCATGATTTCATCAATTCGGAGTGATCACGGTGGTGAATTCCAAAACCGTGACTTTCAAAATTTTTGTGAAGTTAATGAATACAATCACAACTTCTCCACTCCGAGGAATCCCCAACAAAATGGAGTAGTTGAAAGAAAAAATAGAAACCTATAAGAAATGGCAAGAACGATGTTAAATGAACATAGTCTACCCAAGTACTTTTGGGCCGAAGCCGTAAATACGGCTTGCTACATCATGAATAGAGTCCTAATAAGACCATCCTTATCCAAAACTCCCTATGAATTATGGAATAACAAAAAACCAAACATCTCCTATTTTAAAGTTTTCGGTTGTAAATGCTTTATTTTGAATGAAAAGGATGCCTTAGAAAAATTTGATGCTAAATCCGATGAAGGCATCTTTCTTGGTTACTCTTCCATTTCTAAGGCTTTTCGGGTTTTTAACAAAAGAACCTTAGTAATAGAAGAGTCTATTCATGTAGTTTTTAATAAAATTTTTAATTTAAAGAAAAATGATTTTGATGATGATCTTGGTTTTGATAATTTGAATTTAAATGAACCCCCTCCTCATAAATCATCAAATCATCAAAATAACTTTTAAGAGTTTCAAAATGACATAAATAGATTTATCAATCTTTTATTAAAAAATCGATAAGATATAGATAGAGAAAATTTCAAGAAAAATGCATCCCATTTTTATGTGTTTCAATTTATGTAATTTATTTCATATAAGTATATCTTTATCTTTTATGGCAAATAAAAACATGCATCATCGTTTAAAACGAAAAAGAAAATTACATCTAGATCAATAGTATAACACATTAAAAAATAAAACATCTTTAATCAAAAGATTTGTTAATAATTCTAATTATAATGATTTTTTCTTTATTATTTTGATAGTGAGCTTTAAAAAGTGTGTTGTATCTCCAATCATAAGCCTTGAGCATCCACTATCAAGATATCATTTTTGCTCATAGCTTTTGATTGTAGATATTTCTATAACAAGGGTGGATTTGTTCTATATATCCATTTAGCTTTGGGTCCCTCATGGTTAGATCTATCTATATTGATTTTTGGCATAAGGTCATTTATGGTTCCTTTAGAAACCCAAACCAAATTATGTGAGTCATACTTTTTAAATGAATATTTAAAAATAAAATGACTACATCTACTATAAAAATTATACTTAACCTTAGAGGTAACATGCAATGTGGGTCCTTTAATAAAAGTAGTTAGTTTTTGTTGAGTGTAGTTACTCATAAAGTCGATTCTTTCCTTTCTACGAACATGACCTTTATTGGCAAAAATCATGTTTAATGATTTACTACTAATTTTAATTTTTTCTAATATTTATTATAATAATAATTTTTTCTTTTTGCATGAATCTAATTCTTCACACCGAGTGCAAAAGGTTAACATGTAATTATCATACTCATTTTTTAATTTTTAAAATTCACTAGAAAGAGAAGCATGATCATTTTTTAATAATTTATAATTTTTACTAACTAATTTAAATTCATCAAATAAATCATGGAAAGTATCAAGTAATTCATTGTAAGGTAAAGAAGTTTCATTTGAGTCATTAAGGCGTAGTTCGCCACTTTGCCTTTGTTGGTTTGCTCCTAGTCTTCGGATGTACTCGATTCATCCCAAGTTACCTTGAATACTTTTTTCTTCTTTAGCAGCTTCTTCTTTTTAAGTTTGTTTTTGTTTTTAGTTTCATGTTTATACATTTTTTAAATTTTCTTGTGAGGAGTTCAAGGTCATCATCACTTGAGTTTTCGCTCGAGTGGAATTCTTTTGTTCTAAGTGTCAAATCCTTTTTGTTCTTTGGAATATTGTTCTCATATTCATCATGTGTCATACATGTCATTTCATAGGTCATTAAAGACCCGATAAGTTCTTCAAGCAGAAAATTGTTCAAGTTCTTTGCTTCTTGTATTGACGTTACTTTTGGATCCCAATTTTTTGGAAGGGATCTTAGAATCTTATTTACAAGTTCAAGATTAGAAAAACATTTGCTAAGAGCTTTCAAACTATTGATGACATCCGTAAAATCGGTGTACATGTCAACAATAATTTTGCTTGGCGTCATTCGAAATAATTCAAAACCAAGTAAAGTTTTTTTTTTCAAGTTGCTCTCAACTTTAATAGCTTCCAAGGACAAGAAATGCAACCTGAAGTAGCAAGTTTCACAACCAACCTTAGCCTTCCGGCTTGCAATGAGAGCCAAAAAATGAAGAGTTAAAAAAAAAAAGTTATGCCCTCCAACTACAACCCCATTCTTCTATTGTCCTTCATTGAAGCTGTCTAACTGTTGAAAGAAGTCCTAAAGCTTACCGTCACTATTTAAACTTTAGGATGAGGTGCCAACAACAAGAGAAAAGGTGGGGACCAAAATCGGCAACGATTCTAAACCTATTGAGAGCACCCGGGTGTAATCTAAAAATATATTGTGTATTCTAACAATTTTTATTCAAGTCTTCTATCATATTTCTTTTTCTTAACCCTTAACACTTTTTTATTTTACAATTAATATAGGTTATTTTTCTTTTGATTTTATACTTGCTCTTAGTGATATTTCGCTTCACCAAAACTTATATCCAAGATATGACATCAAAATCAACGAACTGTCAAACCCGAATCCCATAAAGATCACCTAGTGTTACAAAGAGATTGTTGACGAATGCTTGAATTATAAAATTAACTTAAATACTTGCTTATCCTTGTTATAGGGTTTTTAGCTAATAGCCCATTTTAAGTGGTTTTACCATGATCTCAATAATGTGTGAAAAAAACCTTAAAACTAAGAAATTCACATATTCAATAGTAAACATAAATTTTAAAAAAATATTTTCATAGTTTGACACTATTTACTTACATCGATAAAGAAGAATCAAATTGTTCACCATCAAACTATAAGTTACTCAAGCATAAATATCCTAAAAAAAATTTCTTTTATCAAGATCTAGAGATATATGATGTATTCATAGAAATAAATATATCCTATTTTCAGAAATTCTCTTAATACTTCAATTTATTATCCTCAAAACTATGTTATTCTTCAAGAACTGTCTTGAAAAAAAAAAAGGTTCCAACCGCATCACCCAATTCTTCACACTTACACACACTCGCAGATGCTCAGAAGATAATGTCCTTAAATATAAGCAGTAACACTAATCTATAGCGACATAACTGAATCAAGCGAGTGTGTGTGTGCGTTGTCTCGGTCTTCTATTTCCTTCTGCATCTACTACAGTACAACTCTTTAACTTTCCATGTGATTCCACACTCCACGGCGCAGAGAAATGCCTAGCGATCTGCACCAAGCCATAAAAATGGCTTGACCATTAATTCTCCCAAGTTTTACACTTTGTGTGCTGGCATCTTCTTCCCACTCTAATCTAGAATGAGATAAGTTGGCCAACGACTCTCTTCTAGTGTACACGTTACGAAGGACTCCCCCCTTCATCTTGACTTCATGCACGTGACCATGTGGTTATCATGCAGCGGTTGTAGCCGACATGAACCAGACTCGAAGTCTGGGATCTATACATGGCAACATGGATGCTTGGCGATCCATATATCAGACCTGATACTTTCGAGGTACTGCTTAACCAGCTTCAATGCTCCCCATGAACAGTGTTTTCTCCTCCATTCCTCTCCTCCTCCTCCTCTTGCTGCTCACATCGTTCGCAGTCTTAGATCAACTTCAGTTCCACAACCTCCACAGCTTCCTTGCGGCGTTCGTGGCATTCTTGTTGATTTAAGCTTGAAAGAGAAGCAGAAGAGGGTCGCTCTTTTATTTTTCTCGGCCAAAGTATTGATTAGGTTTACCTTGCTACCACTCTGTATTTGTCTCTTAAGGTGCAACTTGAAGATCTCATAGTTTGCAGCCTGATCTTAATGTCCTATTTGGAGATTTGATGAGCTCATCATCTTACGGCTGCACATTCTGATTTCAGGAGTTACGTCGAGATGGAGAAGAGATTCAAGGTGTGGATATACAAGGAAGGAGAACCGCCCATCGTCCACAACGGGTCGGGCGCAAGCATCTACGCCATCGAAGGCCACTTCATGAGTGAGATGGAGGGCAAGACGAACCCCTTTGTGGCGCGTCATCCTATAGAAGCACACGCCTTCTTTCTTGTTGGGCGGACACCCTATATTCAACCTTAGGTGGGCTTTATCAGTCCACAACTTACTCCCTTTTAATTTAACCCTAATTTATATTAAGAGGGTATGGTAGCTATAAAAAGAGGTAGAAAAAGACAGCAAAGAGACAGTTTTTGGCATCCACGGGATTCCAAAGAAAATGAGACAGAAAAAGAAGAGAAAGAAAGGGAAGAAGACAAGGACAACACAAAGAGACTGTTCTTAATCATCTATTAGTGCTTTTATCTCAGGTTAGATCAGATCTATAGTAGATTCTTATTGTGACTACTTGGGGAGAATTTGAGAAGATTTAGACATTGTGCACAGTAACATGATCCTTATATCCCAGTTATTCTTTTGTGATTGTTGCTAGGATTTTAGGCAAGAGATTGAGATTTATATATTTATTATTATTATTATGGATTATCTCTAGTTTGTCTCGTGATTTTTATCCTTCACATTAAAGAGTTATAATTACATTTAATTTTGTTATATGTTATGACCCTAATATTTGATTGTGGTTACATTGTCCATTTCTGCTGGAGACCCAAAGCCAACGGTTACTGGGAACACATGAAACGACTGATAGCAGATTACATAAACGTCATTGTAGACAAGCATCCGTACTGGAAGCGAAGCCTCGGTGCAGACCATTTCATGGTGTCTTGTCATGGCTGGGTAAACCTTCACATGAGCAAATCGATGGTCAGTGTAATGCGGTTCTCGTATCAGTATCACAAGCTCTCATTAATCTGTGCTGATACCATTCAGGCTCCGACCATATCGCATGCGAACCCTGAGCTCTATCAGAACTCCATCCGGGTGATCTGCAACGCCAACACGTCCGAGGGATTCAAGCTTGGAAAGGACGTGACGCTGCCGGAAGTGCATCTCTCGGACGGACTGCTCTCGCAGCCACCTCGAGACCAGCTCCACACTGAAAGGACGACTCTCGCGTTCTTCGCCGTTGGCTCGCATGGCTACATCAGGCAGATGCTACTCCACCGTTGGAAAGGGAAAGACACGGAGGTGGTGGTCCATGAGTATCTTCCCAAGGGAACGAGCTACGGTGAGTTGATGAGGAAGAGCAAGTTCTGCTTGTGCCCGAGCGGGTACGAGGTGGCGAGCCCCACGATCGTGGAGTCAATATTCATGGGATGCGCCCCGGTGATCATCTCCGTGGACTATCCTAGTTCTCTGTGTAAGATTATGTGGTCCTATTTAATTAAGTAAGATATATTATAGATATGATTGGATTCTGATTATGATTATTGGTCATTTAGAAAAGAAGTCCATGTTAAAGTAGGATTCCTTAGGAGATAACCTTGATGGGAGGAACTCCTAATAACTTATTCTAGACCCTCTGTTCTCGCCTATAAATAGACAGGACCTCTAGAGGCTAAGGGTCTATCTAATAGACAGGACCTCTAGGGGTTAAATGTGCATCGATCTAGGTAGTCATGTGAAAAGATAGGAAGATAGGAGAAGGATCTAGTTTTTCTTGCAGATCCTTGCAGATTGATATTTCAGATCCGAAGATGAAGCGCTTGTAGATCATATAAGATTTATTTTTCTGAACAACAAGAAAAAGGTACGCATCGTAATATTGTCAGATCTAATTTATTTGATTTCAATTTTGGCATAAAAGTTTTTCCGCATTACAGACAGCATGATTATAGATTTTATGCTAACAATTGGTATCAGAGCCAAGTTCTTGAGATCAAATATATTAGATTTATTTTGTTCTTTACGATGCCTGAATGATTCGTCGGATATTATTGATCTGTTTTCTTTCTATATGATTTGCTCTATTACTGTTTACGAGCAATGTATAATTTTATGTTTGAGCGATAAATTTACTGTTTCTTATCATCGATGTTATTGAGATGATCATCTTTGTTGATCGTTGTCGACGAAGGGTCGTGTACCACCCCGCAGCCGCGCATCACGGTCGAGCGCAGGCAGAGGTTCGCTTGCGAGCGGTGGTGGCACCATGGACATCCCGCACCGCGTTCAGCCAAGGCGGTGGCCAAGTGCGAGCAGGAACCGCGGCAGCCGCGTGCAGGTAGTGGCAGCGGTCGCGCGTGGGCACAGGTAACGCGGCGGCATGGCAACCGCCCACCGGCGGCGGCCGCGCGTGGGTAGGCCGTGCACAGGCGGCGGCCACGCGCGGGTAGGAACCGCTCAGCGGCCGCTCGTGGGCAGACGCAGCCCCCCACGGCGGCAGCGGCCGCGCGCTGGCAACAGCTGCGGCCAGCCCTTCAGCGCTGCATGTAGCGCCGTAGCGACCGCGCGCAAGTGGCGGCAGCGCCGCACGTCGCAATGGCCGCGCACAAGCGGCGGCAGCACCGCACGTCGCAACGGTCGCGCGCAAGCATCGGCAAGCAAAACATATTAGGGTTTTGGCATAATTACGATTTTGACCTCGAGGTTAGGGTTTTATAAAATTACAATTCTGCCCTTTATAAATTTCGTAATTCTAGTTTATGTTCTGTCAACATATTTACAGTTTTACCCTCGAGTCTAATTTTGCCAAATTACAGTTCTGTCAACATATTTACAGTTTTATTCTTATGAAATTGAGAATTTTAAGTTATATTCTCAATTATAAAATTGATAAATATAATTTATTATAATTATGATTGAATTTAATCATGATTATATTTTGGTTATTTGATTGGATTTAATTTTTAATTAAAAAAATATAAATTATGGTTTATTTTATAGTTTTCTCATATGAATTATTGATTATACATGTGATAAATAAAATCTAATTATTGTTCTTGGATATTTATTTAGTTATTCATATGTATATATTTGAAATTATGAAATAATATTTACCTTTCACATGAAGGCAATGAAGACATGATTTATATGTTATCATGATTATCATATGAGTTTTCTTTTGCTGATTAAAGTTCAATAATTATTATGGTTATTATATTATTGAATTGCTTAGCATTAATGTTCAATAATTATTATGGTTATTTTATTATTAAAATTTCTTAGCATTAATGTTTAATAATTATTATGGTTGTTATTCTATTATTGAACTGCTTAGCATAAATTAAAGAAATTTGATGAATATTATTTGTAATTCATTTCCTTAAGTTTTATCTGACTTGTAGCTGTCAAAGTGGCCTTGGATGATAAACTTTTGTGATATAAATTACAGTAAAGGTCTTATCATTTATAGGACATTTTAGATTATATTTTATATTTTTATATTGGTCCACCTGGACCGATAATTTATAAAATACATAATGAAATTAGTCCTAAATGATATTAAATAAAAATAATATTCATAATGACAGTATAAATCAGGATAAAGAAATTTAGTGAATATTATTTGTATTTTATCTTCCTAAGTTTTATCTGACCGGTAGCTACCAAAGTAGCTACCAAAGTAGCCTGGAATGATAGGCTTATGGGATATGAATTACAATAAAGTTCATGTCATTCATGGGATATTTTAGACTGTATTTTATCTTTTTGTATTGGTCATATAGCCACCAAAGTGACCTGGACTAATAATCTATAAAATACATTATGAAATTCATCCTAAATAACATTAAATAAAATAATATTCACGATGACACATATAATTATGAGATTTAGATAATCCCAAAGGAGAATCTATTTCAAATAATTATGTGATTAGGGTAGGATGATACTGTTTTGGATATTCTTGCAGTTTAGGGTTGTATACCCAAAGGTAACAATACTATTCCACAAGAATGGTATCAGTCCTCCATAAGTGATTTTGAGTGAACACTAGATATGTCAATATTTCAACCAAAGGTGAAATATAAATGATATCAATAGTTCATCATATTTTGGAAACTCAAAGCATTAATGTTATATTATTACTGTGGCACTTCCTTTATTGTGTTTCTGTAAATGTCCCTATACTTTCTGAAATAAATGGCTTGAGCATATACAAGTTGTATTGAGTGAGTGAGACCTTGATCAGATTAATTGAACAGAACATAATCTTAATTACAAAAAGTTCTGTGAAATAAATAATTGAGGTGACTGATCAAGAAAGGTATGAAGGACTCAATTTTATGATACTTAGACTTCAGTACAGTTTACAACTAGCACATGAGAATATCTAAGGATCAATTTAAATTATCTGATAAGTCATTAGTTGACACCTTACTATGATAGTATTTGAAGAATTTAAGATTATATCCTCAAAATAAATGATAAAGCTGTAAGCTCAAGACTCATAATATTTTGAGTACTATTCAAAAAGTAGGTAACACTAAAATAAGGATGAAGCGTAATTCCACCTTAGTTTATAATTATTATATAAACTCATAAAAGAATATCTTCACAATAAAATGTTACTTTTGTAGTAAATAAAGTTATGTGAAGAAGAAATATACTATAAGATTTGATTTGAAATTAAAATGGTATAATTATAACCTTTGTATGGTTCAAATCAAATATTACGGATATTATTGATGGATTAATTTAATGCTTCATCATATATTACCAATAATAGATATTTTCATTAAAAAAAAAATGAAGAGGGATAAAATCAAAAGAGAATGAAATATTTATCAATGTAGGGATCATCTTAAAGTGAAAGCGATATTATTTTGTATTTATCGCTTATATCTAAAGATGATTCAATTTGATAAATCTTGAGAATCGATGTTCTTATAATTCTGGGAATTTAAGTTCTTTACCTAGAATTGTTATAATATTATTTCTCATTTAATGGTTGTAAACTTACTATGATTCAATAAAATTAACCTTTGAATTCTGTATAATAGTCATTAATATGAATCATAAGTTTACAATGATCCTATAATTAAATATTGAAGTGAAATATAGTTTTATAAACTCTTTTAGGTTATGTTTATCACTTTATACTTTTGTCTCATTAAAGAGAGACATTTTATCATCATATAAATAATATGTTAAGATATGATTATTTATATATTTAATTCATGTAAAGTCTATGACCATTTACACTCTTGAAGTGTATATAAATGAAGTTGATAGACAATTAGATAGAAAAGTCAAAATCATCATATCTGACAAGGGTGATAAATTTTATGGTATTTATGATGAATCCAATTCTTTTGCTAGATTCTTAGAAAAATAAGGTATATTATTTACCAGATGTGTTACAGCAGAATATGATTGCTGAAAGATGTCATCGTACCTTATAGATATGGTTAGGAGCAATGATAAGTTATTCTTTTGTACCCAAATCAATGTGAGAGGAAGCTCCAAGGACAACTATGTATATTTTGAATGGTGTTCCTAGTAAATAAATTACATGACTTCTTTTAAGTTATGAAATGATAGGAAACATGACTTAAGATATTTACATATTTGAGATTGTCCTATGGAGATAAGGATCTTCAACTCACATAAAAGAAAATTAGATTTAATAATTATTTTTGAATATTTTATTATATATTCAGAAAAGTTTAAAAGGGTACATATCTTATTGCTCTAATTATAGTATGAGGACAATTAAATCTGGTAACATAAGATTCCTATAAAATAGCAAATCAGTGGGAGTAAAAATCTCGAAATTTAATTTTGATATAAAGGAGATATAAGTTAATACTCCTTTATTATTCGAGAGATTGTTGTTACTCAAAGCATTAAATGATTTGATTAAAGTGAACAACAAAATAACATTATTAAACTCCCACATTATATTGATATCGCTGTTAATGGTCTTGTAGAACAACCATAATTGATAACTTTGAGAATGTCTCAAAGGGGAAGGAATCATGTTATTTATGGTTATTATGTTGTATATCTACAAGAATTATATTATAGGAATCAGAATGGATCCCTTATTTTTTTGTCACGGGTCATGAAAAGTAATGATTCTAAAAAGTAATATGATGCAATAAAAGAAGAGTTAAAATTAATAACCAGAATGGTGTCTGATAAATTTATCGAATTGTCCAATAATTGTAAAAGAGTATATTATATAAATGTGACTCAAAGGACAATGTCGAACGATATAATGGTCAGACTTGTGGTTAAAAGTTTTACTCATAAAGAATGTATCGATCATAATGAGATTTTTAATGAACTCGTTAAGAATCATCATGACATTAGTAATTCATTATGAGTTTGAGTTATATCATAATGATATGAAAATATTTTTAAAAAAGATCTAGCTTTATATGGGTTACTCTAAATGATTTACAAAGAAAATGAAAGAAATAAAAAGTTTGGTAAGCAAATTCAGG